AGTGGATATTGATACCAAATGATCTTGAGATTGTTACTTCCAGCTGTGTGTATTCATCACGTTTCCAAGAACACATAGTATTATGGTTTAAAACTTATTGAACAAGCCAGGCTATGGTGATGCATGCCTTAGATCCCAGTACTCATGAGGCAGAGGCAGGAGGATCTCTGTGAGTTCGAGGCCAGCCTGATCTACAGAGAGAGTGCCAGGATAGGCTCCAAAGCAACACAGAGAAACCCTGTCTTGATAAACCAAAAACAAAACAAAACAAAAACCTTATCAAACATAAATTTTCACCAAGTTGTATTTATATACCATTTATTTCATAAGCATTATGGTCTGGTACCTTCTAGAATGTGACAGGCTGAAGAAATACAGCTTAAACTAAACACAAGTGAGGATTATTTTCCTTATTAAATTTTTAAATTTTGCCTTGGTATATAATTTAATAGGAGTAGGACAGGTTGAAATAACTGCATAATTGATAGGCCTTATTTTTAAGACACAAACTCCAAGGTTTCTCTTCTTAGTGATGTGTTTATTTAGTAATTGAAAAACAAACAATAATTTCAACGTTCCTATCACTTCAAGTATCCACTTACAGAAATGAAAACAGTGTGTGTGTGTGTGTGTGTGTGTGTGTGTGTGTGTGTGTGTGTGTAAGACTCCAGATCCATAAAATACATATGAGAACTACTTCACAATGTAAAACAAGACCTCTAAGCCCCTTTGAATTATGGAGGTAATGATGACTAGTAACTGACTCAGTGGAAAATTACCTTGTGCATTCAACACCTGAAATACTGTTCAAAGCAAGAGCGAATAACAAAATAACAGGCTAGACTGAATGCACAGAACATATTATAGAAGAGGCACTTAATGAGCTGGGCAAAAGATGCTGTTTGCTCACCAGGTAAGGTGAATAAAAAGACCCTTTGTCCAAGCTCTTCGTGATGGTGCTTTGCTAATTTTCTGAAAAAGAATCTGTTTTTGTGGTGAGTCAATGCCCTTTTACTGGCATTATTTTAATGACAGAAGATAGAAGAAAAGGTCGCAATTTAGATCAATGCCATCTTTGTATGACAGACTGGGTGAGTCACCAAATGAAATTAACAGGGAAGCGTGGTTATCATTTTTGCTGTCTATACTCTCTCTCCTGAGACACTGTGCAAACACAATTCAATGAGGTATTTGAAGAGATCTGGTTGCTAGGTATCAGCTTCTTTCAGAGCTCTTCATTTCAACCTGGACACAAAATAGGGAAAATTTTCAAGATAAATGTATCACAAGGCATCCAAAGGCTCAGATGCCTGAATGTTGACATGACCACTCTAGTAGAAGAATACAAAAGCAAAAGCAACCAAAGCCACAAAAACTTTTCAAATCCTCTTTGCCATTCCTTTTACTTTACAGAGCACACAGAGATTCTGAAAATAAAATAATTCTTTAGACAACCACTTAGTTGAAGGGATGGTGGGACCAGAACCAAATTTACATTCTTGATTCAAATATTTCATTTTACTTTAGAGTTCACAAAACATTTTACTTGCTCTTAAAAATGAGAAGCAATAAGCAAAACAAACAAGGTAATTTTTTGAAAATGTAACAATTTTGTCCAGATTATGAAACAATTAAGCTACATTGTAGTCATAGGTAGGAAGGTCTGTGAAGTTATTGCACAAGTGTGAGAGACTGAGCTCTACCTGCAGCACACAGAAAAACTTCTGTGGCAGCAACTGCCTATAATCTAGCACTGGGGGATGACAGGAGAGGACAGGAAGATACCTAGGCCTGGCTGAACAGCCAGACTAGTGGAACCAGCATGCCCCAGGCTCAGTGAAAGACCCCTTCAAAGACAGTAAATGGTTCCTGAACAACACCATCCAAGACCCATCTCTGGCTTACACACACACACACACACACACACACACACACACAGACACACAGACACACAGACACACACACAGATGCATGCCCACATACATGTGTACCCACATGCATGTGTACCTACACACAGATACAATGTGTTAAAATAAAAACAGCAGATGCATTCAAATGAAATAAGATGCACAGCTTGAAAGAAGTATATGGAAATACGTTCCACTGCACATGTCATCAGGGAATTGTAAATGAATACAATCGTGAGACACCAACACATACCTTTTAGAATAACCTGCTTCTCATCCCTAGAACCCACATGGATAGAACCGACTCCTTCAAGTTGTATGCTGACATTCACATGTGCCCTCATGTGCACATACATAATAACATATAATAAATATGTAAAATATAGAAGTTTAAATCTGTTCAATGGACTATGTTATAAGCTATCATCATAGTTACACAAAGGTTGTGATCAGCAGAAAAGATGTTTTGGTACTAATAAGGAAAGGAATTGATATAAACAATTACCACAATTTATTGTGGTTTATGTTCATTTCAAGTTGCATGGATCTTCTGATGTCCTAAGAGACACAATTTGGCTATGTGTGTGAGGGCCTTTCAGTGAGGCTTCCCTGTGGAGTAAGGAAGCACCTGTACGAGGGCTGGGTACACAGTCTAAATCTTGAGCATGAGTAGTAGGAGCTGAGCACCAGCACTTGTGTCTCTCTTCTTCCTGCCTGTAGATATAACGTATCCCGCTGTGATGTTCCTGCTGTCATGCCTCTCCTACTCTCCCAAGTCAGAGCTATGACGAACAATGTGCTCAAGTGAAGTCAACTACAAAGAATGAGTATTTTCTGGGAACTCTTGTGTTGTGGGTAAGGCTAGAAATTACTTCATTTCATACATGTCAGGATTAGGTCCTCCAGTGGCTCAAGAATCCAGAAAGCACATGTTAATAAGAGGCAGGGTGGGGGTGGGGAGAGAGAGAGAGAGAGAGAGAGAGAGAGAGAGAGAGAGGGGAAGGGGAGAGGGAGAGAGAGAGAGAGAGATTCTATGCAAATACTCTGCCATTTTACATAAGGGGCTTGAGATGTGCATAAATATGCAGGTGAAGTGGTGATAGAAAGAGGAAGGGATGTGAAAACGGGGATGCTAGAAGGGCTTCAGAGCTAAACACACAGTCCCGGGAACACAGAGCCATGGCAACAGAGAGGAGAAAGCACTTCATGTCCCTACTCCAACCATTTGCTCCTCTTCTTAGTTACAACTGACAAAATCTCCATGGTACATGGAGATTGTACTGGAATCTTCCTATTTCTTAGGACATAGTCCTCACACAGATCAACACAAATAATTACTGTAAAGCATAGTCACATTTTAGACAAATGTCTTCTAAGTCTAGCATTTAAAAATGTCCATTTACAGACAAAACTGTAAATCTCTTCTAGCAGGTTCCATCAGGAGGCACATGAGGGCCCACGAACTTGTCTTTGATTTGCAGGCTGCACCCTCAGAGGCTTGGAGTTAAAGGTCTGGGTTATGTTTGCACAATTGGTAGTTTTTAATTACATTCCAGTCTGATTCCAGTAACCATAGAAGCAGCATTTTTGTTTCTAAGTGTTATTACCTGTGTCCTCAGCTTCCTAGACATCTCATTATCTTTACTTTTGAAACTAAGACCTTTCAAATGATAGCTGGAATGAGATGGTATTTATTACTAAGGATTGGTTGGAGTCCTCACGAGCACCAAAAGGAGCTGGAGCCAGAGTAAGAAACAAGATGCGAAATTAGTCATGGTTGTGTGTTGTGATGCTGAAGTTCCCCAGGAATTCTCTTCTCTTAATTAGTTACAAATGCTTTTTACCCTTATTCCTTTAGTGGTATTTGAAATCCATTTACTCCCCCAAATTTACAAGATTAATTTGTGTTTTGAAACAGGATCTCATGTAACACAGGGTGGCTGCACACTTCCTATGTATCTGAGGATGAACTTGAACATCTGATTCTCCTTCACCACCCAAGTGCTGAGATTACAGGTGTGTACCTCCACAGTATTCTCGCATCAATTCTAACTGCCTCACCCTAGTTGGAATATAACTAATCCATCCCAACCCAAATATCTCCATTCTACTTACATGTGATATAGTAAACATTATCCTTCACAGCTCTATTCTTATGCTGTATGGCACACACAGAAGCAAACATACATTTAAAACAGAGTGCTGCATACATTCTACATTATAAACAGAAGCAAACACATTTTAAAACTAGAGGTTAATAAAAACAGAATCTACTGGCCAGGAGGTGGTGGTGCATGCCTTTAATCCTAGCACTCGGAAGGCAGAGGCAGGTGGATCTCTGTGAGTTTGAGACCAGCCTGGTCTACAAGAGCTAGCTGCAGGACGCCTCCAAAGCCACAGAGAAACCCTGTCTCGAAAAAACCAAAAAAAAAAAAAAAAAAAATATCCACTGAATGAGGACACAGCACAGTAGCATTACAGATATTTAATGACAACAAGTGGTAAATTAATACAAATCACAGGCTACGATACTGAATACAAAAACCATTCAGGAAAAGACTAGAAAAGCATCACTTAACAAGTCAGTCTGATGCAAGTGGCTAAGAAATGCAGGCCCCATTGTGATGATACAAGCTTTACAGACAACACATTGGCACTACCACGCCCCACCCCACCCCCAGTCGTGGCCACAGCATAGCAAGTGACACTGGTGACTAAAACTTCTAACACTCAGCATTGACATCAAGGGACATCTCTGTAACATGTTCACTATGCAAACTCAGACAAGATTGTGAACGTTCTTTGCAAACTGTAAGGTGCTGTGCAGATGTTGTTAGCTATTGCTATTATTCCTGTTCAGTGAGATTTCACCAAACGTGGAAGGAAGACTAGATTGCATATCTGACAATATGACTTACGGAACATCTTAAAAAGAACAGCTACTACAAGCACACATAGCAATTAACACAAGTGTAAGCATGGCCGGCAGCGATATGGAGAGATTCTGGAGTTTTCTAAGGAATGAAGGGTTAAACTATTCATAGGGTAAGTATTGATGGGTAGCTTCCCAATGTCTTTTAGAGTAATTCATTTTTAAGATAATTCCATCCCCCTGAAAAGAAGTTTTGTCAAGCTACTCAAGTGCACTGCAGCACAACTCCCGCTGAAAATGAACTTAGAAGCTAGGAGTTGAGTCTGAATGGTTGTACATTTTACTAGTGAATGAGAGAACTTGACAGTAAAGAAACCTGCCATTGGCCCAAGACAAGCGACTAATATACTGCCATCATTGAACCAATTATCAAATAGGCCTAACAAGTCTATAATTTGCTATGACTAAATATGAAATTGTCTGGACACATAGTGGATACAAGTAAAATTGGGTTTCAATCCTTTCTTTCCTGTACCTGCACCCTTAGCCTTCCTTGGGTGCATCTTACTTATCAAAATACTTTTACTGTCCTGTTTGAATGTTCCATCTATATAAGGTTATATGAAAATAAATACAAGCCCATTGGTTGCTTCTTTTGTTAAAGCCAAATTCATTGTTTTTGTAGGGTTTTGTTGTTGTTTTGAGACAGGCTCTCATTTAGTCCCAGGGTGGCCTTGAACTCCCGATCCTCCTGCATCTGCTTCCCAAACACTGGAAGTACAGGTATATGCCACCACAGCTGGCTAGGTATGACTTTTCTAATGTAAACTTTCAAGTTATTATAATTACTACTAGATTCCCATGAAACACCCAATTATTCTGAATAGCAGGTTTAAAATTCTTTACTATCATTACAAACCAGAATGCTACTGTAACGTGAATTGGCAGCCATTTGAAGAATGAATGATACTAGATGCATCTTACAGCAGACTTCCATTTCTTCAGTAGTTGGGATAAACATTATTTAGGAGAAACATCAGAAGATAAAGAAGGTATTGTTACAATAAATGGGGTAAAATCAATAGCTTGCACTTACATTTCAAGCTATACTCCCTAATTGAGAATACTGTTTCAATCAGATTTTGAACATCAGTGAACATATTCCTGCCGGAAAACACTTAACAGTTCATCTCTAGCTTTTCTTCTAACACATCATGAAATATGTACTTTGTGCAAGAGGAAACTAGTTAGAAACCTTGAAAAAAATGTCTATGTGTCAAATACCACATTCATTAACATAGCTAACAGCAGCAAAATCATGAGTGAGCAGTCAAAATTCTAGAAAACAATTAACAGCTTTGAAAACAAATCTATTCTGTAATAATTCTAAGTATCAATGTGAATATTTGATTTTAATGTTCAAACACATTGTACTTTAATCCCAAGGGAAATGGGACTACATGTGTTTACATGTATCCCTGGTTAAAATACTTTTAAAAACACCTGTACCATTATGTAGTTAGCAATGTTTGAAATCAAACAAAATAACCCAACAGTGTATTTTACAAATAGTACAAGATCCCTAAAGAAACCTCAGCATTATATAAGAAGAAAATGAGTGGACAGTTCTAAATACAATAGGCCACCTACTAAGGTAACCATCTAGAAATCTAGCATACAATGTCTGAGACTCAAATATCATAATACTAAACATTGCAGTCTTTACAAAATAAAGACCCTTATATTTAGGATACTCACTTTTAAATACAAATTACATATAATAGTTAAATTTAAGAATTAAGAACAATCCTTCAATAATCACATTAATCTTATTTTTGCAACAATAATATAACACAAACACATATCTTTATGTCTAATCACCTATTTCTCTATTCTAGCTCCACAGCATAAAATAACAGCAGACAAATCAATAATGGCAAACATTTAAGCAGGGGCACTCATTACATAAGGATTATCAGTAACAGGTATTTGAACTTCATTTTTACAATTAAATTGAACTGATACATAAAAACAAAAAGCATATAGCTTATAGGGTGTCATGTAATGTTTTGATATATGTACATGTTACACAGTATTTAAACTGAGTTATCTCAATATTTTATAGTTAAAAACATTGAAATGTGAATTTTAGAAGACTAAAGATAGAATGTGCCTTGTAAGACAATGGGAAGTTATCACATATCTGAAAAACTGCAAACAGCTCTTTGGTGAAGTTGGAAAGATGGAAACTTAAAGCAAGGCTGTACTGTGTATGGAATCAGCATTAAGAAACATCTTTCAAAACTGCATGGGGTTGTGAACTGCAGGTAGTAACATTATGGGCCAATTTTTTACTTTCTATTTTTATATGTATTTTTCCAGTGTTTTATAAAACATATATTATGAACTTTTAATAAGAAATAAATATTTGGGGGATACCAGTTTTAGATTGCATATACACAGTACCAAGTGGTTTAACTGACCATAGACTGAAGGTACCGAAGCAAGGTAACAGGGCTTTTTTTTTTTTTTCTGAGGCTGGGGTGTTCTCATCAAAAAAGGCTTCAAGGATTATCTATAAATACAGGATGTAACTTAGCTCTGATAAAAACAAAATCAACACAAACTCCAAGAATACCTCATAAGAAATATGATGTTTTCCAGACTGTATACACTCTTGTGTGTGAAAGCTGAACATTTTGGCATTCTAATACTTGTCATATACTATCTATTTTAAAGTAGAACAATACATTAAATGGGATTTTGATAAACTTTGCAACTGAAGCCTAATTTCAAATAAAAATAAGGGTACAATGTTAGTATGATAATCACAATGCTGACAGCTAACTCAATTCTTTGACTCAGTAATCCTAAATTCTTTGTATGAATGAGTTCAATTTCAGCAGCTTTCCCCATTAAAAAATGGAATGTGAGAGTTATCATTTCTCAGTGACATTCAGGTTATCTACATTGCCTACAATTTAGGTAACTTTCTACAGGAAATTAGAATCACAAATCCAAGTGCCTGGTATTTTCCAGGAAGTCCACCGGTGAAAAGGGAAGTTTAGATTTGCTTCACTGAGTGTTTCTTAATCTAGCCAAATAAATAAAACTGAAAAGCAAGTATAAGGCAAATTGCTATACATTTTTGTTATTATAAGGTAATTAAATTTTTCCTAGCATGCGATATAACTCTCTTAACATATACATTTGTACCTATCGGACTTTTCCAAATGTTCATTTGAAAATGGAGATTCAAAGTTCTAAGTGACCACATTATTGGGAGGGTCAAAATTTAGCCAAATGCGACTGACTCCTTAAGATTGATTTTACCATGTCCTTTCAACTTTATTCAAGCAAAATGTATTCATTATCAATATCCCAGAAGTACTTAACATATTCAAAAAATAAATTTCATGTTATCAAAAGGTGATGTTCACTTTAATCCTGTTTGCCTTCGCGCCACTGTCTTGAACCTTCATTCCAAGCGACATACACAAACAGGGCCAGAACGACATGAACAGCAACAACAGCAACAATTGCAGCATAAAAGTAGCTGTCTCTATTGGACATTCCGAGGGCACCTATCAAAAAAAAATTCATTTTTATTCCACACTTACCAAACTACAAAACTCAAAGACTTAAGAATTCTGTTTGGAATGAAGACTAGTACAGAAAACAACAACCAATAAAAACACAGAGTTATGTCCCAATGAATATATCTACAAAACAACTCCTGCACCTAAGGTTCAGGCAACACTGTAAAAGAAGGGGCAGAAAGATTGTAAGACACAGAGGATCAAGGAGTTTTCTATGAGATTATGCCTCCTACTAATGTCACAAGGTACATCCCTCAAGTCTCACCAACATGACTGCCTAAAGGAGCTGAACAAGAACAATAAAACAATAATAGATATGCTAATATGGGTGAGGAAAAGCCCAGGAGGCTTCACCCTATGCAAAGAAATTGAGGCAACTAAGGAATGCTAAGAGAGAAAAATCTTCCACTGGGAAAACATCACAATTGTTTATTCAATACCACATGGTCAGCCTGGAAAATATATATATACAAGTAAAATTATACAGACTGAGCATGTTGTATTTATATATTTAGGAACACACACACAAAAAATATTAATGAAAAAAAGAGATCATGAATTTGAAAGACAGCAAGGAGGAAAATATGGGAGGTTTTGGAGGGAAGGGAAGAAGAAATGAAAAAAAGTAAAATATAAAAATATAAAATAAAAAAGATCTATAAAGTCTTAAAAACAAAAAGAAGACATAAAACAAATGTATATAATCATCATGAGAGAATGGCTTGTTAGAATGAACAGGAATACATACGGGTTTTTCCTCCTCCTCCTCCTCCTCTTCCTGTTTCTCCTCCTGTTTCTCAATAGTTACAAAATCTCATTCTGTAGGTCAGGGAGAATAAAAACTTGAGCTCTCCTGTCTCAGTTTCCTGAGTACCAGTATTACAGATATCTACTATCATGCCGAGTTCTGCATTTTGAAATTCACACCATCTATTAGGAAATTCTCTTGACATCGTACCACTGGCTGTCCTAACTAATCTCATCATTATGTACAAATAATATATATGAATAAAAATACAATTCTATGAGAAATACAGTGACAGGCACTTATAAAATCATTATTTATAGCTTAAATATAGTTCAACATGAACAGGTACTAAACACAGCCTGCTCTATAGAAATCAGAAAATATCAATGTTTATTTATTTTTAACATCAATATGATTTCTTATACATATTTGCATCACAAATCTGATTTTATACAAATAGACAGATATTTAAGAGCAATAAGAAAAAATGAAAGAACACTAGAAATAGAATTGGTACCCAGTTACCAAATTATGTTGTTTCAGTTTAGAATTCTACCCCTATGATAGCAGGAAAGACATGTCACAGTATCATGAGTGTCATAAGGCAAGTCAAGAGAACAGTGCCCATGATACAGACCTTGGAATTACCCTGTTTTCATCTCCCATTTCCACCAGTTACTTGTAGTACAGACTACAACCACTTAACTGTTTTGTAACACATTTATAAAATATTACAAATTAATTCATAAGTTTGTTGTGGAGATTCTGTAGATAAACTCATGTAAAGCAATATATTATATGTAATAAATATCCAAAAAATTTTAATTGTTTTTTGAGGCAGGGTCTCATGTACCCCAGCTTGGCCACCAACTCTTTTATGAGTCCAGGCCCTAATTGTGCCTCCACCTCCCAAGTATTATAGTCATGCATCACCACACCCAGCCAACCAAAGCATATGAATTCTTGCTGGCTATACATATAACTAGTTAAGCAAAAAGAATAAGAAAACAAACAATAAAAGCATTGAACAAATTAGAAATTAAAAATGTCCTCAAGCATGTAAAACTTACCTTCAAATACATAAGATTTGGTTGTAAAATATAACCCAATAGGAACTGTGATCATTAAAGCTGTGAAGAACAGGAGTGTCTTGAGGGTTGAAGCTAAAGAATTTTCATTTCTGGAAAAAAGTGAAAAAACTGAATTTTCACAAGCCATATCCAAATATGATAATTACCCTCCTGAAGATAAAAGAATACAGAGGCAAATAAGCTTCCTCCTTCCCAAACATAGCAAAGCAGCAATCATGTACATTCACATAGCTTACTCAACCCTGACACTCAGCACACACATGCCTAACCCTGAAATTTCATGGAAAAAAGCCAACACCCATTTGCCTGCTAACAGCTCTTCCCCAAGGACTGTACACGCTTCTGCTCCAACTAGAGGACTAGACCAGAAATGATAAAACCAGAAAAGATGTATTCTAGAATCAAAATGATCCATGACCCAGTCAGGGTCTCATAAAACCCACAGCTGGGTGGGAGTAAACTGAAAAGACAAAGTTATTAATGGCTATGCCATGGAACTCCAAATAAGTCTTAAATGGGCAGTTCAATAGTGGTATTGGGACTGGACATACAGATGATGAAGGAAATTTTGAGTAAATTTAGTAAATTATGCCTATCTGGCTAAGTACTCTATACAGATACAGCCATTTCTTAATCTGTGTGTTCACATGCATGCGTTTGTGTATGTATATGCACATACAATGAGGGCAAACATAATCTACAATTCCACATATATATATATATATTCTTCAATTAAAAAAATGACCAAATCTAAAGAAAAAATAAAACAATGGCCACCATGGGTGGGGGGGTGAAAATATATTATCTTTTACTATACTCTGCCATTACTGAGCTACATAATCCTTATCATATACGTACATATATAATCATACACATAATCATATGTATACAAATATACATTCAAAAATATGAAAATACTATTCAACCACTTCTTTTCTGAATCTTAAAGAAGCACTGAACTTTAGGTTTTCTTAGTGGCAAATTCATATTTTATAATATTGTAAGCATGCAGTATTCAGATTATTTATCTAATTTGATAGGAAACAAAAATTCAAAGAAAGGATTGGTTGGATATTTTAACTTATTTAGTAACCTAGTTATTTAGTTTTTAATACCAGAGATTGAACTCAGGGACTCATATATGCTAAGCAAATGCTCTACCACTCAGCTACCTCTCCACCTCTTTTTATTTCTTCTCTGAGAATGGGTCTCACTAAATTGCCCATGTTAGCCTCGAACTCACTCTGTAGTCCAACCAGGCCTTGAACTTGTGATCCTTCTGTTTAAGCTTTCCCAGTAGCTGGCATTAAGATGCCTATGCCACTACATCTGGAGTGTTCTTTAGATAATCTCTTTTAAATGCCTACTATCTGGTATAATTTTTACAAGCATGAGGCCACAGAGATGGTTCAGTGATATTGCTCTTCCAGAGAACCAAGTTCCAGTCTCATGTCAGGCAGCTCACAACTGCCTTAACTCCAGATCCAAAGGATCCAATGCCTCTGAACTCCTCAGGCACCTGAACTCATGCACATATATCTCCCAACCCCCCAACCCCACCCCACAGGCAAAATTTAAAACAATCAAGTTTAAAAATAATTTTATAAACACTATTGAAAAGATAATTCATTGCAATAAAATTAGGGTGAACAAAATCCCAGTCCCACCAGACAAATATAACCTTTACTATATATTAATGTCCAGCTCCCACAGCCTGTATGTACGTATGGTAACAACTCCTCCCCATATATTAATGTCCAGCTCCCACAGCCTGTATGTACGTATGGTAACAACTTGTGACCTATTATTATTTGTTTTGTTTTGTTTTTTTCATGACAGGGTTTCTCTGTGTAGCCCTAGCTGTCCTGGAACTCGGTATGTTGATCAGGCTGGTCTTGAACTCACAGAGATCCACCTGCCTCTGCCTCCTTCCTGAGTGCTGCAATTAAAAGAGTGTATCACCTGCTGGGCTAACCAACTTTCCCTAATGTTTATACCCCTTTTTTCCTTTGCTTTTAGACACAGCCCTCTCTTTAATCTGTTGGTACTGCTGGCACAAACCAGGTCAGGTAGTGTCAGTAACATATTGTTTTTGTTTTTGTTTTTGTTTTTAAAGCGACTACTGGGAGTTGCTGAGACCTGTCAGAAATGAGGAATGGATGGAAAAACCAATATTAATGTTAACCATACAAAAGGAACATGCCAAATGAATCTTATCAAGCTCCTATGCTTTAACACTTTCTAGGTTTCCTAGTTCACACAAATTTCTACAGCAAACACTGAACAGAGATCACCACATACCCCTCTGTGGCAGTCAAGACTTAAACAACAGAATTCCTTTAAGATTTCATTGGCAATGCCATTAGAAAACACTAGTAAGTGTGTAGACATACTGTATTCTCAGTGTGCTTACTATGAATATCCATTGTATTGTCATAAACAGTCATTTAAAAAAATCCCAGTTAACATTATTGGAGAGAAAAAGCATTGCAAGGTTTTGGAGTCAGCAGGTGGGGTCAGAAGGCAATGTTCCAACCATAGTAACTGTGTGGTCTAATTTTGTGGCTTGTCTGAATTCAACTTCTTTTTTTCCAAAGGTGAAAACTTTGGAAAAGTTAGTTAGTTAGCCAAACTAAGAATTAAGAAATGTTACGATGTCAATTAATGGTTGCTTCTGTTCAGTCACTAGTCCCCACCCTAACGATTGATCCCCCCAAAAGAAGGGCTGTCACACCAGGGCCAGCCTCTATTCCATTCACACACACGTTATTTACAAAAATATGTGTAGGCCCTGGCAGGTCTCAAGATGAAGGCGGCCTGCTGTCTGTCAAGAGAGGACGCCTGGAATAGGAGAGACTACAAACCATCAAGCTCTACAAACAACAGGGAGAGGAAATGCAAGGAAGCAGGAACTAAAGACCTGCTCATTTAAATGAAAGGTGGAACGTTCAGAAGCTGCAGGCTCCAAACTACTTTCCTTCTTCATCAGCTTGCAGCGGACCGCGGAGGGGCCTATACCAAGCCCATGCGGTTTGGCTCCTCCCTTCCCTCCAGTGCAGGCAAGGCCAGGGCCGAATGCCCAAGGCTACCCAGCTGGACTCAGAAATACCTAAACTCTGGAGGCTGCATCGCGTTCAGCGCCGCTTTATCAAGGCGCTCCATTGCGTGGCCGCAAGGGCAGCAGCAGGATCTAGGTAATTGGCGGCGTTCGGTGGCCGCTTGCAGAGCGACAGCACTAGGCCCGTCGCACCGGAAGTATCTGGGCGAAGCACGCAGGTGCGGCGCGGCGTGGTGACGCGAGCAGGCAGCGCGCACAGGCGTAGGGCGTGGGCACTCATGTGACTTACCGACGCGGGCTCCGTGGTGTTCGTGCCGCCGCGAGCGGATCTTTCTCCAGGAGCAGGCCAGGCGAGTAGCCCAGCCACTCTACGTTGAGCCGGGACTTTCCGCGCAGCATCGTCCTTCCAGCTCCAGTGCCTCTCTGCAGCTCGGTGCGGCTTGCGCTGCCACGGGAGCCTGGTGACAGGAGGTAGCAGAACCTTGAAAAGGACCACCAGGCTGTCCTCTGTGGTGCTAGGCAACCGAGCAGTTTCCCACAACACAAAAAACAATGCACATTATTCCACCAGCCCATGAGCAAAGTCCTCATTCATTCCTGCTTGCCTTGACAGTCCAGCAGGAAGTTCAGAGGACTTAGTTTAACACTCACCTGAGTCAGTAAAACTAGACAATTGTCCGCTGAAAGAGCTCTTGCTGAGGATGACTGTTCCACGTTGGTAGCAGGTGACCCAAACTTCCACTTCGAGTTAAAAGTATGTTTTGCAGCTGTTGAGAAAGCCGCCCAATGAGACAGCAGGGGCTCAAAAATAGTAAGGACAGATGGGACTATGCTTCCAGGCAACCCGAGAGGCACCAACAGAAAAGGGTGTGTAAGCCCTAGGGCAGGCTTAACATAATTAAATTGCCCCTGGCTACTAATACAAGGACAGTCCTTACATGGTCAAGCCTGGAAAGGGCTGCTGACCGCATACCTATTTTCTTCATCAAAGAATACTAAGCATACCTGAAATCACAAGTAAACCAGCAGCTGCTCTGGGATTGAGCAGTAGGAAGCCCGAGTTTCAATTTAAATAATAACACCTCTGTAGGCCTCGTGCAGATCCTTAGGTGAACTTAATAGATGAACTCGAAATGGAGAGTTGGGCACCAGAAGTGACCTACTGGGCAGCCAGTCAAGTACATGGAGTCTGTATCCCGTTTTTCTTCACTTTTGGTGGGAAAATGTCAAAGAATGATATCTCACAAACAATTCATGAAAGTCATTCAAATTATAATGTTCATAAGTAGAATTTTTTTGCAACTCAGTCATGCGCATTTATCTTAATTGTTTCTATATCTACAATGCTGGGGTAGATGTGACATAAGTCCTAAAATATGTTCTATATGGATTTGGAGTGTGTGTGAGTAGGGGGTTGGAAATCAGGACCTTTGTAGCATGTTGGATAAGTGCTCTCCCACTGAACAACTACTCCCACAATTCCCACCCCCTTTTAAAATTTGACACAGTGTCTTACTCACTTCGTCAAGCCAGCCTTGAACTCATTCCACAGTCCAGGTGGACCTTGAACTCAGTCTCTCTGTCTCAGCCTCCCACGTGGCTGGAATTACAGATCTATAGGATTCTTTGCAGAACACTTTGCTAATTACTGATCTTGTTAATCACCCCTTGGTCCTTAAACCACTGGGGATCCACAAATTTAATAATGAGTGTTCTGAGAAAAAGTTTTAGTATTAATTAAAAAACTAATGGAACTTTAACAGCTAAACATCACATTATTTGACTTGAGGTGTAAACTATGTCACATGGATAAGGTAATCCTGTTCATATAATGAATAAATGGGAAGACTGTTACTCAAGCTACAATATGCTATAATATTTTTCATAGAACAAATCTTTAAAATATGAATCTAAAAAACAATCGTGTGTACCCAATAGTATTTAGTATACAATAAATGTTAAACAACTGATTTTGTCTACAAAAAAAAAAGGTTTTTGATAGAAAATTGGGAACTACAATGTAGATGTATTAATGTTTTCTGGGACCACTGTAAAAAAGGACCACAAACTGAGTTGTTTAAAGACCAGAAGTTAATCCTCTACTTCTAGATGGACTTCTGAGATGGAGGTATTCTTAAGGTTACTTCTGCTGGAGAAAGATGTAGGCATTCTGTTCTTCTTCCTTAGCATCTGGTCATTGGCTGACACTTTGACATTTTTTGCCTTATAGCAGTGTCACCCTGATCTCTTCCTTCATCTTTTCATGGTGTTCTCCCAACATATGTGTCAGTGGTCAAAAGTCCTCTATTCATAAGGACACCAATCCTATTGCTTTAGGGAACTACCCTACTTTCATATGACATTATCATAGCTAATATCATTTGCACCAACAATATTTCCAAATAAGGTTACAGTCTGATGTGTGACATGGTCACAAGGGAGGAAACTATAGTAGTAATGCCATTATTTCCCCTAGAATCACGAAATGATTCTCAAATACTTCTCTGGGACATTCTAGGATCCCCAAAACAGACTTGGGGAGTTCACTGGATTGCTTTGTCTGTCTTCTCTATGTGGCCATGTTGACTAACTCTCCCTTTTCTGCTTTCCATTATTACTTGGCTTATTAAGGACTAGTGGCAGGAAGGACCTGGCTTGGAACACAAGTTTTTAATCCCCAAGTTCTATAACATCTTCATTATAAGAAGCCTATCCATATGGTGTGGCAAGTCTCTAGCTGCCAGTTCAGATTCTGACACAAGTACTTTCAGATGAGCCTGCCACAGTAGAGATGCATTATGACAGGGCCACAACCCAATACCCATGCTGTGCTGAGGATTTGATGGTGGCCTGTGGGCAGAACAAAAGGTGAGAGGTTGGGCCTTGGGAGAGCTAAGCCCGGGCTTGCCAAAATCAGAGCCAGTGGGTTCCAAACACAGATCTCCCCTAGCAGTTCAGGCACTGGAGAACTCAGTCAGATTTCCCTGAGGTCTTCCTAAACAGCTAGAGGGAGGGGTGGGTAGGGTGGCTCTGATTGGGCCAAAATAGAGCTTCCTTCTGGAAAAAGCAGAAACTCCTCTCAGGAAGTCTGTGCACATTGCCCTGCAACCAGTGGACCTAAGGGTACCCAACCCCCATCCACATGGAGGCTACACTCCCAACATTGACTGAATAAATTAAGTATATTGATGAATGAATGAGAGAAACCTAAGGTTTTTTCCCTTTCCTTTCCCATCACTGTGTTGGAAAAAAAAGTTAGAAACCCTAAACTAAAGGAAACAGAAAAAATGCAGATATCATAGGAAAAAGAAACTCAGAAGCTTGACAATGGTCCGTGTTTTTTCTTTTTTTTTTTTGGATACTTACAATAAATGACAGATTGGGGAGGGCTACTTGGTACTAGTGCATGTTTAGTGTGAGCAAAGCCCTGTGTTCAGTCACCAGGTCAGGGAGGGGAGAGGGAGGATAAAAGACTAAGCAAAGCAGCCTCCTGCCTAGGGCCTTTCTCTCCCAGCTGTTCCTCTGGCTCCAGTCCTAGGAAGAAGAAATCCCTTCCAACAGGGCAAGGTTAAAGGGAGTGCACAAATGTGTGTGCATGCAAATGTGGGTGTGTACTTCAAGAGTATAAGGACATGGGGTACAGTGTGTGTGTGTGTGTGTGTGTGTGTGTGTGTGTGTGTGTGCTTAGAATTCATACATGCTGTTTGGAAATGTGATTAAAAACAAAATCATCTCCCAGCCTAGAAAACCACATGAGAAAAGTAGAAAATAAAAACAAACAGCTAAACAAAAATTACCAAATAAGAATTAAATCATAATGATCTGTCAGGAGAATTATGAGTTAGAGGCCAGTCTAGGATACATAGGGAGTTGAAGTTAATAATACTTTGCATCAAAAAGAAGGGAGCAGAAAGATTGCAGGAACCAGAGAGTCAGATAATTTTGCTGTAAGATCTTGTCTTAGGAAAATCAAAAGCTACACCCATAAAGTCTCACCAACATGACTGCTCAAATAAGAGTGGGACAGAGACAACAACAAGAGACAAGCTAAGGTGAATGGAGGGAACAGATGCTCAGAATGCCTGCTTCCTCTACAAAGAACTGGAGGTAACTAAGGAATGAAAAGACTGGAAAAACAGTCTTCCCCAAAGAAGAACACACCAATTAGTTATCCAATAGCAAATGGCCAGCCCTGAAAACATACATGGATTGATAAAATATATATATATATATATATATATATATATATATATATATAT